TGTATTTTATCATCATGTGTATGCTATAACGCTACACGGTGCAACGTTATAGCACCGTGTAGCATGCTAATTACATGAGTAGCGTCATAGCAGCTTAATTTGCTAAAATATAGCATTTCCTTTCCTAGTTTGCTATAAAAGCTTTGGTAAAAGGGTGTATTGGATACGATGAAGATTGTGTGCCAGGTGTATTGTGACTTGTGACAGAGGCCTCGACAAGCGAGGGTGGCAGTACTGGAGGACTGCATTTTTGGCGGTGCTCCTCGAGTACAGAGTCTTGATCCCCAGGGTAAAAACCGAAGGTCTGGCATTTATTGGTTGTATCTAGCAATGGACTTGTTGAAGGCATTGTTTTGGGTGAATTCGGACTTTCTCGGGGGTGGAAACCCGAGATTGTCGATCGGGCAACGACAACGCTTGTGCATTGCTTTCTTCTTGGAGGCGTTGCTTTTGGAGAACCTCTTTTGTATTTCGGGTTTTGTCTTTGGTGGTGGTTAGAGTGTTGTTTCTGCTAGCATTGTTCATCGTGGCGGAGTCATTTTTTCTTCCCTTTGCTCTTTTTCTTTTATTTTTATGTTGTGTGTATCCTCGATGTATTTGGACATCTTCTTGGTACAGAGGCCGGATGTAATTGGTACTAATCCACCGACTCAGCCTCGCTGAGAAACAATGTTGAGGAGTCAGGGGATTCATCAATAACCGCCGCGTGCACCTCAGAAAAATCCAATATGGAGAGATGACAAAGAGAAAATAAAGTCATGGTCCCCTTTTCTTTGTCGTTGAATTAACCCATTTACATTATTTTTTACTTAGACCATGGCAATATTTTTAATTTAGACCATGGCAAATTAGCCCAGGGTAGTTTTATTGTTGGTGGCATGGCAAACTTACTTTACAAATATGGGAAATTTGCTTCCAACTACATGGCAGTTCTTGCACAATGGCATATGTCATGAGACATCTTACTGCAAAATTCATAAATTCTCGTACTCCCCAAAAAAATCGTAAATTCTTTTTTACTCAAATATGTTACTCACAATTTTTGAAAACTTTTTGTAGAGCATTTTTTTATTTTGGTGATGGCAATTATTTAGAGTAAAATTACAACAACTTATGTAGGTATCCAAAAACCTTGATCTAGTGAGAATTCTAATTAGCTGTTGTTTTTAAGATGGCAAAATGTTGATCGTGCTGGGAGGCATACTAAATGGGCTGTGTGGGCCTAGTTCACCCTGGGGTGGTTCTTCTAGCGAAAGAAACATGTCACTCGGGGCGAGAGCAACTAGTTGACGAACAGTCCTTCGGGAGCATCACAACGACCAGCTTCACTTGGCGCGCTCTCAGCCGCCCGCCACATGTCACGCTTTGGACGCTCTCTCCGAATTGTTTTTTATTTTTTTGCACGTGTTTTTGGCTTTTTAAATGGGTTTTTTGGTGTTTTTTATGTTTCGGTTTTTCACGGGTCTTCTTTAGCTTTTGGACCAAAAACAATATCATGAGACGCACGGTTTTGCCTTTGCGAGAGGCACAACCGTGCCTCTCAGAAATGAAAAAAAACGCATTTTTTATTTCTTTCCTTCCGCGAGAGACACGGTTTTGCTTTCGCGAGAGGCACGACCATGCCTCTCAGAAAAGAAAAAAAAATCTGTTTTCTAATATTTTTTCTTCCGCCAAAGGCACGACCGTGTCTCTCTGAAACGAAAAAAAAGCGCATTTTCTATTTTTTTTTCTTTCGCAAGAGGCACGGTTTTATTTTCACGAGAGGCATGGTTGTGCTTTCGCGAGAGGCACGGCCGTGCATTCTCGGAAACGAAAAAAAATGTATTTTCTGTTTTTTTTCCTTCCGCGAGAGGCACGATTTTGCTTCCGAGGAATCCAACGGGATCTAGTTTTGAAGATCTCGACGCTAGAAATCCAACGGTCAAAGCGGTTTGAAATTTTGACGCACTGTTTAAAAGATAAAACATTTAGAATAATTATTAACAATATTGAACAGGTATTACCAATATCCAACGGGATCTATGAAACATATTGACCAATTGTTTGAAATGTAGAATAATGATTAACAATATTGCAAAGTGTTTGAAAATGTTGAATAATTAATAAAAATTGTTGACAAGTATTTGAAAAATGTTGCACAACTATTTTAAAAATGTTGAATAAGTATCGAAATGCTGAATAAGTATTAAAAATGTTGAATAAGTATTAAAATGTTAAACAAGTATTTGAAAAATGTTGAATCAACATTCAGACAATGTTGAACGTGTATACAAAAATGTTGACAACTTATTAAAAAATGTTTTTAACATATTAAAAAACAAAGAGTGAAATAAAGACAAACATAAGAAAAAATGGAGAAGAAAAAATAAAACCAAAAAAAAGAAAGAAAACCCTTATTTGTGCGACACATGGGCACAGTCGCGAGGAGAGCGAGCCACGTCCCACGAGAAATAGTCGGCGCTTTGATGTTTCCTTTTTCTATTTGTGTTTCCATTTCTTTTCTTTTATTTCCTTATTTTTTTTTCATATATTATACAAAGTTCATTGTGTGTTGCAAAAAATGTTCATCATATACTAAGAAAATGTTCATGGTATAATACAAAAAGTTCACCGTGCATTATAAAAATGTCATGGTATATTCTCAATTATTCAGTGAATATACAAATGTTCACTGTGTGTTTTTGAATTTCAGGTTATATTACACAAATGTTCAATGCGTACTCAAAAAATGTTCAGCATATAAAATGTTCAATGCATATTAAAAATTTGTTCAATGTATATATTCTATTTAATGAAGAATGTTCATCATATATTACAAGAAATATCATGTAATACAAAAATTTCATCAAAAATAGGTTGAACAATCTTCATAAAACAGAATATATGATGGACATTTTTCAGTTTTTCTTTTTTGTTCGTTTTTCTGTTTTTCTTTGTTTCCTCACTAGCTTCTCAATTTTTTCCTTTTTTTGTTTTTAACCATTTTTGTTTGTTTCATACTCAGTTTTCACAGGTTTTTGGTTACCCTTTCCCCTTTTTTCCACTACTTTTCTTCTTTTTCTTCTGTGTTTTCACTATTTTTATTTTAAAACCTTTTCTTGGTTTTTCTTCAACTTTCGGTGCTTCTTTCTCGGTTGTCACTGGCCTTTTTTCTTTCCTTTTTGTTTTCTTCCTTTTTCAATGGTTTTGTTTGTTTGTTGCACATTTTTTATCTATTTTCTTTTAATTTTTATCGGATATTCATTTTTTCCAATAATTGTTTTTGCATATGTGTAATACATTTTCTATTACACATATAACATATTTAAAATACAAGTTTAATATTTTTTTTGAAAACATGGTCCAAAGTTTGCTATAATTTTTTTATATATTTTCCAAATTTGCGATTAACATTTTTCCAAAACAACATTAACATTTTTTGGATACATGGTCAACATTTTTCATTACATTTTAATTTTTTCTAAAATGCCTTAATAACATTTTTCATACATTGTCAATAATTTTATACACATTTATTATTTTTCAGATGCTTGATTAAAAAAATTAAATATTTGTTCAACGTTTTTTGAAATGCTTGATTAACATTTTTCAAATACATGCCAAATTTTGTCATCATTGTTTAATGCATGGCCGACATTTTCTATGCAAATATAACATTTTTCAAATACTTGATTAACATTCAATTTTTTTCAACATTTATTTGTTTGATTAACATTTTTGAAATACATGCTCCAATTTTTCATAGTACTTATGCATGGCAATAAATTTTGTATACACATTTACTATTTTCTAAATGTTTGATTATTATTTTTTAAATACATGTAAATATTTGTGATCATTTTTATATGCATTTCCAACATTTTTATATGCACATTTGAGAATTTTCGAATGCCTTATTACCATTTTTCAAATAATTTGTCAACATTCATTTTAATGCTTGATTAACATTTTTTAAACACATGAACAAATTTCTTTTATCATTTTTAATACATGGTAACATATTTTTTATATACATTTAACATTTTTAAAATGACTGATTAGATTTTTTTAAACACCTGTTCAACTTTTTTTACAAATGCTGGAATACTTTTTTCTACATACATGATCATTTTTTCCTATTTTTTTAATATATTTTCGTATACGTGATAAGCTTTTTCTTGATACTTTAAGTTTTTTTCAACTTCTTGGTTAACAATTTTCAAAGTATTATGTTGAGTGATTTTTAATATATATATTTAGAATATTTGAAAGTATAAAAAATGTAAATGAATAAAGCAAAAATGGAAAACAAGAAACGTGAACAGAAAAATAGAAAAAAAATTAGACTATGGCCTCCCATTTGCCTAGGCCGTCCCATGCCGTTCACGCGAGGGTTGCCTACGTCTCGATATAACCGAGACATTGTGGACCCCGCCTTCTGGCGCATGCGGGTGTCACACACGGGTTCCCCCTCTCAGGGGAACATACGGCGGTTATTGTGGTCCAACGAAAATGCAAAACTTGCCAACATATTTAGAGCTCCCATAGCACTCAAAAAAAAAGAGCTTTCATAATACTCCGTCAGTCCCGTAATATAAGAGCATTTATGACACTATAGGTGCGACCGTGCGAGAGCAAGTATAATAAGATGCAACTTTGTCATAGATGAGATCTTTAGTAAAGAAAAGGCAAGTTGTCTGAAAGTAACCAAATGCACCGAACTATTCGAGGCGGCCGATATATAGACAAACGAAAGGACGTGCGGATCACATGCATGGTCCCGTGTCCACCTCCCACAACAACAATAATTCATGAATCCAACGACAGAAGCCATGCGGCTACTCAAGTCGAGATCGAGACCGCCTGATCGATCCAGCAACCCGTGAGCACGCGGATTTTATATACCATCACGTCAGGAGCTGATGCAGCACAGCGTTGTGGCTCGTAGCCTCGTGGGTGAGACCGTGAGACAGCCAACTGAAGCGCGCAACAGCAAGGTGAAGCAAGCTCGGTAGCTATAGGATGGGGTCGTTGCCGCCGGCGGGCGAGAGGCCGCACGCCGTGATGATGCCGTACCCGGCGCAGGGCCACGTGACGCCGATGCTGAAGCTGGCCAAGCTGCTCCACACCAGGGGCTTCCACATCACCTTCGTCAACAACGAGTTCAACCACCTCCGCCTGCTGGGCGCGCAGCAGTCGCAGGCCGCCGTGGACAGGCTCTGCAGCCTGCCGGGGTTCCGCTTCGCCACCATCGCCGACGGCCTTCCGCCGTCCGACCTCGAGGCCTCGCGGGACACGCCCGCGCTGATCTACTCCACCATGACCACCTGCCGTCCCAGGTTCAAGGAGCTCGTCGTCAATCTCAACGAGGAGGCTGAGGCCTCCGGTGGCGCCCTGCCGCCTGTCACCTGCGTGGTGGCCGATAGCATCACGAGCTTCGCCATTAGCGTGGCGCGTGAGCTCGGCCTCCGCTGCGCCGTGCTCTGGACCGCCAGCGCCTGTGGTTTCATGGGCTACTACCACTACAAGGATCTACTCGACCGTGGACTCGTCCCTCTCAAAGGTATGATCTTGTTTTGTTGTGTTTCTCTTGTTTTCTTTTGAAGTATGTACCAGGTCGTTCTGCATGCCTAAATCTGTTGCAACTGATTTAAATTAGACGCAGACATAGTACTTGTTATAGAACAATTCAACTGATGGCAACATTACATACAAGTATAATTAAGTTGTTGTTGATGCAGAAGAGGCTCAGTTGCGCAATGGATACTTGGACACGATCATCGACTGGATACCGGCGATGCCCAAGGACCTGCGGCTGCGTGACCTCCCGAGCTATTTGCGCACCGTGGACCCTGACGACATCATGTTCAACTTCTTCATCCACGAGGTACCCGCCATGTCGCAGGCGTCGGCGGTGGTCATCAACACCTGGGACGAACTCGACGCGCCCTTGCTTGATGCCATGTCCAAGCTCCTGCCGCCCATCTACACAGCGGGGCCACTCCATTTGACGGCTCGCAACAATGTGCCGGAGGAGAGCCCCGTCTCCGGCGTTGGGTCCAACCTGTGGAAGGAGCAGGACGCTCCCCTCCGGTGGCTCGACGGCCGGCCGCCGCGCTCCGTGGTGCACGTCAATTTCGGGAGCACCACGGTGATGTCCAAGGAGCATATGCTGGAGTTCGCGTGGGGGCTCGCCAACACTGGTTACGCCTTCCTATGGAACGTGCGGCCTGACCTTGTCAAGGGCGACGTCAAGGCCGCACTTCTGCCGGAGTTCTATGCGGCAACTGAGGGGCGGAGCATGTTGTCGACATGGTGCCCGCAGCAGGAGGTGCTGGAGCACGAGGCCGTAGGGGTGTTCCTCACGCACTCTGGCTGGAACTCGTCGCTGGAGGGCATCTGCGGCGGCGTGCCGATGGTGTGCTGGCCCTTCTTCGCGGAGCAGCAGACCAACTGCCGTTTCAAGTGTACGGAGTGGGGCATCGGGATGGAGATTGGGGACGACGTGAGGAGGACCGAGGTGGAGGCCATGATACGGGAGGCCATGGAGGGGGAGCAGGGGCGGGAGATGCGGCGACGCGTGTTGGAGCTTCACCAGAGCGCTGTGGCCTCCTCACGGCGTGACGGAAGGTCCATGCGCAATGTTGATAGGCTCATCAAGGAGGTGCTTCTGGCTTAACAAGCAAATTAGGCTGGTAAATAAATGTTTGGCGAGTCTAAAGCGTCTATTAAGAAGTAACCAATCCCTCTCCATTTTAAAGCTTCAGTCATGTTTTGGGTGATAACTTACATGGATTACCAAGATTTGTTACAAAGACGGTTGAAATACTACTTTGGACATTTGTAGCTTTATTCACATCTACTCCCTCCATCTCATAATGTAGGATGTGTACTGTCAAACAACGTCCTGCATTATGGGACGAAGGGAGTATGATTTACACTACACGGATGTTATTATATGCCAAGTATCAAAAATACTCATCAACACCCCAAATATACTTCGCTTTTACTCAGTGTTGGTTGACTGGACATCCCGCTTTCAAAAGCATTCAACCGAAATAATGAACTGGTTGTTTCTGAGCAGGAGTATGATTATGTGATGCATGAGGACCAACCATGCAACTTTGGATAGAAAGATGGGTAGACCGGAGGCTCTGGAACTCATGATCATGTATCGCCGTGCACCTCGAATCACATACGGAACTACTCTGCACACGACAGTTTAGAGCCGATTTGCGTTGATTTCTATCATAAAGTGATCTAATGGATGCTTTTGTCTATCGCGCAGAAATTGTGCACATAGCCGTCGTCTCTGTGGCACTGCTCAATCCCAAATGGCCCAAACTGTAACCAAAATGGTCACGAAATCAGCATGTTGTACAGAATCTAGCGGTGAGAAAATATGTCATTTTTCATATGGCTCTGTAGTTCTGTTCATTGCTGTAACCAAGTCTGGATCTACCATCTCCCATGCATAGTGTGACATAGTACAATCAATGAGCAAGTGCCTCCAAGATCCCATCGATCCACATGGTGCATAGTTGGCCGTCGACCCCATGTTGCGCTGAGATGGGCATATATAGAGAACGTGCGACTGGCTTTGTTTAACAGAGATATGCGGAAAGTGCGGCTGTAATTCTCGATGTAGGGCCTGCGTTTTTTGGAGGCTTCACGCATGTGCCGCCCACTTCGCTGTTTCTCCTCCATTTGAGATTCTAAACTAATTATAGATGAACTAGCTTAGAAACCGAAAAACTAGGGAAGGCAGCTTAGGGCATCTCCAACGCGGACTCCACCCGCATATGTCCGGATCGCGCGGTCCAAACTTGTTTTGTTATCCAACACGGACCTGTATCAGTTTGCTCGGGGATCCGGACACACTTTTATTCGCAAAACGGAAACAAAGTGGGGGAGGGGGTGTTTGCGTGCGTTCGGACTGCTGCCACGTCTGATTTTGACTGCCCTGGTCCACCCAAACCCCTCCCCGCTTGTGCGGGCTTCGCGTCGAAAACGGTCAGCGTCGCTCTAGAGCGGCAGTTCCACATTCACGCCGGACCAGAGCGGACGCGACCTTTCACTGCCGCCGACATTGAAGTGGCGCGCCGACCAAGAGAGCTCCGCCCGCGCCGCTTTCCGAATCACGTGACTGCTCTGCGTTCAAACGACACCACGGTTGTTCGTCACCCTACATTAATGACATGTGGTTGCCGAGAAATCTACCCCGGCGCCACCCGTCCATCCGTCCGCCGGCCATCATTGCCATCACCCGCTATGTAAACTCCAGCCCTGGTCATAGCCACAATCATTCTTCTCCGGTCCCTTTCTCCTCTCCGCACCACGCCCACCATGCCCTCATTGTGCTTCAAAGCCCTCTGGGACGGACTCTCGTCCAGGCATAAAGAAGGAGGTAGCCTCCATTGCTGCCGGCTGGCAGGATGGTAGGCAGACGGATGCCGCGATGTCCCAATGCATGGCACGACCGAGGACGAAACAACGCCACCCTCCTCGCCGGTGCATGCTGATATCACCATCGACGAGGCACGTTCCCACTATATGGACATGGTGCGGGAGGAGCGGGAGGCCAAGTTCCTGGAGGCGTAGGCCAACCAGGCCTAAAACCTTTGTCTCCTCGACGAGCACCGGCAAGCGGAGAGCAACTCGCCGCCTGCACGGCCATCGCGCCGGACGCAGACAAGGCAGAGCAGGCAGTGCTGCTCGAGTCCTACCGCCCTGCCTGCGACATTTGTCGTGACCACTAGTGGTACCGCCATTATCAGGTGGAACTACATGCCGCCTATAAGGAGATGGACAAGGTGGCGGATGAGGTGTTCGGCAAGAGCGACGACAATGACATTGTCGGGTCTGCCAAGGCCGCGCCCGGCCGCCATGACCACGAAGCCGACACGTCTGCGGGCTCCAGCGCAGCGAGAAAGAGTAGTGCATGGTAGGTCACCGCCGCTCGGGTCCCAAGAAGGCCACCGCTATTCCCTCCCACTGAAGCCAAGCTTGGTGGACTTAATCGGTCGATTAGCCGCTCAGGCTGCGGTGGTAGAGGCTGCGGACGCAGAGCTAGAGAGCGCATTGGCGGAACTGGAGAAGGCGAAGGCAACAACCGGAGCTTCAATTCTCGAGGCTCATGCCGAGCATGAGGAACGGGCGCCGGCGATCATTTAGATTAGGTTTAGAATAGGGTTTAGTTAAAAATTGTCCAAAATGTAATGAATTTTGTCTGATTTATATGAAAAATGTCTGTATTATAACCAATGTACTCCAGTTTGTATGAAAATCGGCCATGTTTCCATAAATTTTGCCTAGTCTGTTGAAATGCAGTTTGAAATGTGTGCGGACAAAATTGGATGACTGTCTCCCGCATCCATATCGACGGACTCGCAACCCAGTCCACATACGAATGCGGCAGAGAATTTACAGGCCAGCATTAGAGATGCAAGAAGCTGAGGAGGGGACAGACGCCAAAAGAACCAGTGTTCAATCAGTCCAATGTTGGAGGGATAGAAACCTATGCCGTCGAAAGATCATGTTGAAGCGCCCATCGAACCGCCGGCTCCCGTGAGCTAGGTTTCCTCCGTCCCTCCCCCCGCCGCCGCCGACCTTCCTAGGCCCCACCTCCGCCGGCCGCCCCCGCTCCCATCCCTCCCCCTCCCTCCTCCCGGATCTGCCCCGTGCCGCCTCCCTGGGAG